GAAGCACTGAGAGCTTGTTCGGAGACCGGAAATGCCTCTAATCGGAGGGGGAAGCGGAAGATCCCGGAACCGAGGTGCCCAAGGCTGGTGTTGTCCTCCGGGGCGCTCTTGCACGAGGCCACCAGCCCACACGGGGGCTGCCTGAATTAACTCAGAGCAGCCTCAAGTGGAGGAGAAAAGGAGCAAATGATTTTGTAAGCGTACGTATGTATGATGCCTTTCGGTGACCACATGTGGTTTAACAGGACAGCCCCATGTACGTGATGCTTGAGGTCATGAGACGGGAGCCGCGCCCCTTCTGTGGGGAGTCTGTTGCTGACTGCCAGCCCTGGAGATGGGGAGCGTGTGTGTGTGTGTGTGTGTGTGTGTGTGTGTGTGTGTGTGTGTGTGATAAGGAGCGTTGTGCTGACGGGCATCCTGTCGCCAGCTCTTTGTGCCGGGGGTGTGACAAGAGTCCTCCACTGAAAGACTGAGTCTCCTCTGCCACCTGCTACCCTGGTCTTGAGCGCTCACAGCCTCTCTGGGGTCTATTTCATCTGTGAAATGGGAATTAAAAGCTGCCTCACAGGGTTGTTGTGAGGACACGACGAGATGGCAGTGTCAAAGTGCCCGCCTTCCAGAAGGTGCTGATCCAGTGTTACCTGCTCCCTTCCTCCATGCCACGCTGAGCAGGACAATGTTTTTTGTTTTTTGTTTTTGAGACAGAGTCTCGCTTTGTTGCCCAGGCTAGAGTGAGTGCCGTGGCATCAGCCTAGCTCACAGCAACTTCAAACTCCTGGGCTCAAGAGGTCCTGCTGTCTCAGCCTCCCGAGTAGCTGGGACTACAGGCATGCGCCACCATGCCCGGCTAATTTTTCTATATATATTAGTTGGCCAATTAATTTCTTTCTATTTATAGGAGAGACGGGGTCTCGCTCTTGCTCAGGCTGGTTTTGAACTCATGACCTTGAGCGATCTGCCCGCCTCGACCTCTCAGAGAGCTAGGATTACAGGCGTGAGCCACCGCGCCCAGCCAGGACAATGTTTTGAGACCTATCTGAAGGTCCCATTTTTAGTGGTTCATCCCCCTGTGTGTTCATGTCCCTGACTCTGTGGCTGGAAAAACAGAGCCCCCCCCCCCCGTAGGTTTTTAGGTCATTAGGTCAAGGGCCTGTAGCGTTTGGCAGCAAAGCAAAGATTCTTGACGCTCCTTACCCCAATCCCAAGCCTGTGCTCTCTTTACGACACCCACTGTTGCTTCTGGAACTCCTCCCTGGAAATCAGTGACAACCTTCCAAAGAAGTAGCCGAGAAGAGCCAAAGACAGACGGACTCCCCCAGTCCCAGTTTGGCTAGTCATCGCTTCCCCCAGCAGGAAAAAACGCTCTTGTCAGCTGGAGCAAGCCCCAGAAGCCAGTTCCCTGGGCTGGACGAGACTGAGTGCAGGCCAGGAGCGAACAGGAGAGCAGGGGAGAGCCCGAAAGAGGGAGAGTGGGAGGAGGACACACTCTGGGATGACTAAGGAGTGAAGGTCACTGAGCGACGGGCCTTGGTCCTACCCTGAGGAGGCCCACGTGCAGCCACAGGATTTAATAACTGCGTTTGACACTTGCCAATTGTGTGGCTTTGGGAAGAGGATGCAACCTCTCTGGATCCCAATTTATTTACTGGAAAATTAAGTATCATCACCACTCCCCTTTGTCTCTGTGTTGCTGTGAGGATCTAATGACAAATGAGACAGTTTGTGCAACACGCCCAGCAAGGGGCCTGGGGGGCAGCTGTCCCCTTAAGTGCCACTTCCCTCCCCTCCATGGGGTTGGCTACCTCATGTGATTGCTCTGAGGGTTAGATTAGATGAGGCACTTGCTAAACAGGATTTACTCAAGACCGGTTAGTTTCCCTTTCCCTCCCTTAAAAACAGGCTCCCAAACTGGTCCGAGGTTTCTCTCCAGGGAGCCCGAGTGGAAGTGGGCGATAAATTGCCTCGTTTCCCTCTGTGGCCGTTTCCGGATTCTCCGCTGCGGCTGCTGTACTCTCGCAGTGTTTACCCGAGTTCTGGCGCTGGTTGTAGAAATAGATCCTTTGATGGTTTTGTCAAAATATCTTGGGAGCCAGAGGAACAGGGGACCAAGTTAGTCATCCTTTGTGAAACTACAATCGGGAGGCAATGTTTATCTTGCCCAACAAGACCCTGCACTAAAATATAAGGTACAATTAGATGTCCTTGAAAAATGCGGATTGCGGTTTCTCTGTAGACCAGGCTTGGGCAAGTCTGCTGTTTTAAGAGTTTATACATATTCATCAAGACACTGGAGGTGGCCGGTGAAATAGGCTTTGGGGGCTCCAGTCAGAGATAATGATGGGCGTGGAGAAGGGTGCAAGTTACCCGCAGCCTCGATTAGAGGCTTCTAATCTAGCACCATCGCTGCAGGGATGGAAATGTTTTATTTCTGTGCTCTCTGAGGCACTTGAGACGTGGCTAGTGGGACTGAGAAATGGAAGTTTTGGTTTTATTTAATTTAAAGTAATTTGGATTTGGATTTAAATAGCCACATATGGTTTGTGGCTACCATACTGGACAACATAGCATTATCCAGATCGAAGCATCCTGGGAGCAGTGGCTTCCACCTGAGTCTCACAGGGGTATATATGGTTTCCAGCCACGCCCAGGGCAGCTCGATGGGACCACAGAGATGCCACTCCCCACTGGCAACTGGGACTAGGTTGAGCAGAGTAGGACTTTGCTCGCTGGAAGGACTGAAGCAGAACTGGGGAGAATTGGGGAGAGGCCGGAAAGGGGAGGGTGCAGTGCAGGCCACAGCTCAGCACGGATCATGACGAGTGTCAGGCAGTCCTGCCTTGTAGCCCCCACATCACTGGCCCGCTAGGGACCTACCTCATCCGCTTGTCCCTGGAGCAAGATAAGCAGTTGGTGAAAGAGAGACACAAATGTTGTCTCCAAGGGACTCACTGCTTGTTACTCTCCGCTGAGCCCACTGAGGGTGGGACTTGCTTGAAGAATGCATGGGCTCATTGGTTTGGGTAGCCGGTGGGTGAGATAATGTCACCCTGATGTGACTCTTTGGTCTCCCTTAATGGGAAAGGGACCGTCCTGAGTTCACACCTCAGGTCGGGCACCTGGGGTCGTTGGCAAGTGGGAGAAACTCAACCTGGCTTGTGCCTCCTGCTCTTCCTTCCTTCTCTTGATGCTTGCCTTCCTCTCCCATCCCCAGGCTCCCCGGAGACGTCCTCAGACTGGACCAAGCCCCTCACTTCCGGTGGAGTCCCCGGTTCAGCCCCGGAGGATGAAAACTGACCTCTTTTCTGCCCAGCCTGGTCTTAAGGAGAAAGCAACGCCCCTTCCTCCTCCTCTTCTCCTTCCTCCCTCTTCAAGCTCCCCAAACACACCAGGGGCAGGCCACTGAGGAAAAAGAAAATCACTCCACTCATTGTGTGGAGGCCCTGGGTGTAAATGCCGGCTCTGCTGAGAATTCACGTGTGTCCCTGGGCAAATGATTCTCCCTGGCTAGGCCTTGGTTTCCCCATCTTTAAAATGGAAGGCTGAACACTTCCTCACGTGTTAACATTCCACAATTAAAATAGATCCAGGGAAATGTGATTATCTAAGAGGCTTAATCACTCCAGGTAGCTTTGCCATGTAACAGAGGAGCTGGTTCACGCAAATGAGTCTCTAATTGGCAGCCTGCAGTGGGGGGAGCTCCCTGAAGCAGGAGGCCTTCTGAACTTCCCCACCTGTTCCGGAAGCTTCCCTGCTGCCACCTCCTCCAACCCTAGGGGACAGACAGTGGAGGGGAGCCTCTGGCCTGAAAGGTCCCACCCTTACGCCGACTATTCATTCCAGACGCTATCTGCTGCCCACGACGGATTTCTGTCTTTCCTGGACCTGCTTGGCTCACGAAGGGGAAATCTGGCTGGAGAGCAAAAGTTCAGGGAAACAGAGGAATCCTGTTCCTAAAAAAATAAGCCTCCTGGGAGTTTGAACTCGTGACTGGGAGTCAGGTGGCCCCGTTCCAGGCCTCCTTACAGGCCGCATGGCTGTGGACATTCCGCTCGAGTTTTGCTTTCGTCCTCTTTAAAATGGGATGCTTACCAGCTTTGCCAACCTCGCCTGGCTGTCATGAGCACCACAAGGAGTGGATGGCTGCATCTGATGTTTTCTATAAAATGCTCTGCAAATGCAAAGTGGTGGTGATGGCCTGTTCGTGTTCTCCAGATACAAATATCTGCATGGTAATAATCAAACAGCACAACACCAGATTTCTTCTCCCAGCGCCGGAGAGGGAGTGGGGTGAAACAGTAAGATGCTAAATCACTCCCGAGCTGTTTTAAGGATTAGGCAGAAATGTTAATGGCAACAGATGTCGGCTTGTTCCCTCCAGGAGGATTTAGGTTTCAGCCGGAGTATTTCTTTGCTGGCCTCAGCCCAAGACGTGGCCACAGCCCTTTCTCCAACCTTCCATTCAACCCAGAGAGCGGCAGGGGCTCACTTTCTGCCCTGAGGTTAAAAATCTGGCTGGGAAACATTGGAACCCGAATCTTGGCTTGGGAGGACCTCAGTGTGACAATAAATATCCTGTAAGACCAGCTGATTCGCGCCTTAGGGGAAACGAAATGCCGTCTGGAACCTAGTTTTTTATGGGTGTTCATCTCCGTGAGCAGAGATGAGAGGAGTGGGTTCTGGCCCGGGTTTGCAGATCAGGGTGGTCCAGCTACAGGCAACTGCTTGGGACCTTCTGGATGGAACATTCTAGGGAAGCATGAAAATGGAAAGAGAGAGGCCCCCCCAAGAATTGTTTGAGAAATCACCACGGTTTCTCCTCCTAGCTCTTGGTAGCAAGGTGGCCAGGTTCTTGGGAAAGGAGAAAGGCTGTGTCAACATCGCTGTCTGGAGCCTGTGCAGTTCCAGAAACACTAACAGCAGAGCCAGGGGAAACTTCTCAGCCTTTCAGATGAGTCACTGCACCCTGTCCTTCTGAGGACTCCAGGCCCCTGGGCACTCACCTTTGAAGGGGGACTGGGCTCGCGTCACGAGGAAGAGCTTCTTGCTCTTGCTCTGCGGCTGCTGGTGGACGTGGTAGCCCAGCGTGTTGCAGCGGCCCTTCCTGCAGCTCAGGCACCGGCCCTGGCTGAAGCTGTCCATGTCGCTGCACAGGTAGGCGGTGCTCTGCATGCCGTCGTGCAGCAGGGAGTCGATGAACAGGTGCACCGATCGCTCGTGGGAGCATTTTATGGTCTTGGTGATGGTGGCTGGAACACAGCGCAAGACATGTTATCACCCCTTAACCCGAAGCAGCCTCCACTCAAAGGATCATCTCAGTTCTCTGCCTGCAGCAGATTAGCAGAAGCACACGGGGAGGCAGGGTGGGATCGCTGAGGTCGAGCTGCTGGCAACAGCGGGATGTTACAGCTGCCCGGAAGCTAAAGAAAGTAGACCCCTCTGGGTTATTTAGTGTCGGGGCAAAATCCCAGGCCCCTCCAGGCTCCTGGGGACACTCCTCTATGACAGTGTGTTACAGTAGGTGTTTTAAGTCACTAAAAACAGACCGAATTATTTAAGAAAGCAAGGTAGTATAATTCATTTTAGAGCTATTTCTGTCTCGAATGGTTAGGAATGCCTGAGTGCTGTTGCCTGGAGGGTGAGCTGGCTGGAACGGGCTTGTGTGGGACGCCTCCTTCCTTAATAACACCAGAGACATGAGGCACTCCTGTGGCACGCTAATGGCCTGGTGAAGGCTGAGGACTCTCCATAATGCCTACCTTTTGTCCCAAAGCAGCCAGCGCCTCCCATAGGTGACAGGCCTGTAAAGCCAGCTGGGGGGTTGGATTTAGAAGGGCATGCCCCAGTACCTGGGTCTGAACAGGCCTAACCCTAACTCAAAAAAGTGTGCTTATGTTGATCTACCGTGGACTTTGACCGAATTTTTTTTCAACTCTCCAAATATTAACCAAATCTGTAGTCAATTATTCTCAAGGAATGTTGAGGAACCACCACCAGATGTGTACAGCACCTTATGTAAAGGTAGAGCACAGGTAACTTTGCCAAAAGCGATATCCCCAGGTGTCTGGAGGCTGAACTGCCAAGATCAGCTACGGTGGTCCTTGGTCACTTGTGGCTGCATTTACTGAGCACCTACTAGGACGGGGTGTATGCTGAGTGCCTCCCACTCATCCACTCCCCGAATCTTCCCGGCAGCTCCTGAGGCAGCTGGTATTAGTGAGAAAGTGAGCTTCAAAGACATCCACGAGCTCGCTCAAGCTCACCCAGCCAGGAGGCGGGGAGTGGGGGAAAGCAGTCACCTGTTCAGGTGTGGCTAGGAGAACTACCCCAGCGCAGGGGCGAAGAAAACTGAGAAAACCATCCCAAACGCTGGACAAGCTGAATACATGTGCTTTTGTTCCATCGTTTCGATGTGTAGCACAGAAGAGCAAAGGGCGGTGGCCCGTGGGGGACGCGTTCTCCAGGCACCCGGCGCCCACGCACCAGCCTGGCGGTCAGCTGGGGACTGCTGGCGACCGGAGGGCGCTGACCCCCGCGGAGATGCCAGCCACGACGAGGGCGAGTCCCCAGAAGGCGCCCTCAGGCGTGGGCGGGCGGGCGCGCGCCTGGGAGTCCGGCCAAGCGGGGAAGCTGCGGAGCGTGAAGGTCACGCCGATACTGGCGAGGTGGGAGGCGACGGAATCACCAGAGCCGTGTGTGCTCAGTCCCAGCAAGGCGCCTGCGCCACCAGGGCGACACGGTGGCGTGCAGGGTGTGTGTGTGGGGGTGCGGGTCTCCCGTTGGCTCAGCGTGATTGGCAGGTTTTAATCAGGGTGATGTTTTGCAGTCACGAGGCATCTGGCATGCTCGTGGAATGTGCGGTTTCTGCTGACGTTTTTGTTCTTATTTAATCCTGTGCCGCGCTACGCGTGTGCACGTTCGCGTTTCGGTTCCGGGACTGGAGAAAGAAGTGGGACCACCACCCAGAGGATGCCGCATTCAGTTTCTGCCCCGAGCTACAGGATGGCGCAGGGACGCAAATGAAGCTGAATTTCCCGCTGCAAGAACATGCAGGAGCAGCGGATTGAACCTCACCCGGGGAAGAACTCGAAGCCTGAGGTTAAAGGTCAAGAGGCACGACCTGTCGACCTATCGCGTGACTCGGCGGAAGCCCCTCGAGTGAGGGAACTTCCGGAGGAGGAGTAACCATGGGGGCCGGGACTAAAGTCTCAGAAGGGCTCGTGTCCTGGAGAGGGTGTTGGGCACGCGGGCCCCTGTGAGGGTTGGGACTCCTGTTGGCGGCCTCAGGGCTTGGCCTGTCGCGGGAGCCACTTGCTGGGGGCCACCACCCTCCCCCTGGCAGACACCCTGGGCCCTGCCCTTGCCGGACTCTGCCCCGAGTCCCACAGGCCGGGCGGGCCCTCCCTCTCACCGTGCAAGCCGTGCTCGGCGATGTGCTTGTACAGCTCGAGGAAGTGGCAGCCGGGCTGGAAGGAGCCCCCGTTGGGGTAGAAGTCGTAGTGCGCGACGGGCCGTTTGATGCCCACGCTCAGGCCCATGTGCTCCCGGGTGAAGGTGTGAATGGCATCCACGAAGTTGGCGTCATCGGGAGAAAGACGGTCGCTGGGGGGACTTCCCTCAAACAGCGGCCCCGCCGCGTCCAGCCCTGGTGGGAAAGCGAGGGGGAGGGTGCTTTTTAGCTTTTTGATATTATTACACATTAAGGAGCTAGCAGGAAGAAGAAAAACCCAGGGCATGATGTTTCTCCCGAAAATCTTGCCATAACCTTCTCTCATTAAAACCAAAGTTATTCATGGTGCTAAAAATTAGACACAGGTTAGGCATTATGTGGGGGGGGGGAGGGGAAGAGGTCTGCAGAAACTATCCAGTGGTAGAAATAAGATTATGAGGGAATGCTTGATTTATTTAAGCGAATTAATTTTAAGTACCAATGAAGCTACTTTCAAGAGCGCCTGTTTACATACAAAAAAGCCCGGGAGCTCATGGTAAGTAGTTCTACCCATCAAAGAAAAAATTTGCTTGCGTGTTGTCAGTAATTTCCCTTAATGAGCTGACTGTTCTCCTACGCAAATGTCATTGCATTGGAATGCCCAGCACAGCCTTGGGACACCACTGTTCTGGGTGAAAACGTTGTGAGCAAATAGGGCTGCTCAAAGCTCTGGTCTGCCTGTGACAGATGAGACCAAGTGGCAGCTCCTGGCTGACTGTAGTTGGGGAGTATTTATGCACTCAGAGGTTGTCCCTTGTCTTTCTCCCTTAGCCTTGTCCGGGGACACTCAGGTGTCCCACCTCAGCCCTGGCTTCCTACCCTGCTACAAAGGAAAGATGTCCTGGTGTGATTTATATTCCTTTTTTCCATCAGGCTGACGATAAGGTGACAACAGGGCAGTGAGCCCTCCCGCTGCCTCTAAGGTGGCTGGGCCCAGCTCCTAAAGCCCCGTGTGACCCCAGCACAAGCCAGGTCTCACCGCTCAGCTTTCTGGCCCTGCTGCCTCTAGCGGGAGGTCTGCTCACCCCCAGGGTACTGAGGGCTGTTGAAGCAGTGGGGGACAGAGCAAATGAGTTCTCATCAAGACAGAGGTATTCAGTTCGAATGTCTGCCATTATCCCTATTCTTTTTCATATTAAATCCTTTTATAAAGGAATGGTGATAGTAGATTGTTTTAAAAATGTTCTTACTTGATAAAATGTAAACTCACAGCTCTGTTATTCATCTCAAATGGTCTTTGTTTTAGCCCCCCAGTAGAGTTTCAGCCTCCTGCGAGGTGGTGAAGGACGAGGAGGAGCTTGGTGGGGAGGCTAGGACGGGGCGAATGAGTGGTGGGCAACAGAACGGTCCGAGCCAAGACCCCGAAGCACAAGAGGCGGAGGTGTGTCCATAAAGTGGAGAAAAGTCTAGTGTCTTTCTGGCCTGGAACTATGGGAAGGCGTGGGCAGGAGGGGAAGCCGGGGAACGGTGGGGACACGAGGCTGAGAAGGGCCTTGCCTGTACTGTATATTATACCACTGGGCCCCAGACACTTCAACTGGGGAACATCTGGCCAGCTGTGTGCTTTTCAGATCCTGATTCCGGGGCAGTGTGTGTGTCAGGGGGTTGGGGGCAGGGGCACGTGGGAGGAAAGGCCTTTTTTCGCATGTGTCCAGCTCTTCCTGGGTGTCCCGGGCCGTTTCTGAGTGAGCATGGGGTTTGTGGTGAGGTCTTTGGTGCAGAGCTCCCTCCTTCAAGCCTTCAAATGGGTCACAGAGTAAAGCCCATGTTTTACAAACGTGGAAACTGAGACGCCAACGTGGCTGATGTTTGTTTGTCATTTTGAGACAGAGTCTCGTTGTGTGCCAGTAGAGTTGAGTGCCGTGGGTCAGCCTAGTCACAGCAACCTCAAACTCGGGCTCAAGCATCTTCTGCCTAGCCTCCCGAGTACGCTGGGACTACAGGCGTGTGCCACCATGCCCGCTAATTTTTTCTATACATATATTAGTGGCCACAATAATTTCTTTTATTTATAGTAGAGACGGGTCTACTCTTGTCTACGCTGGTTTCAACTCCTGACCTGGAGCAATCCCGCCTGCTCAGCCTCCCCAGAGTGTTAGATACAGCGTGGAGCCACCGCCGCCCCGTGGCGATGTGTTATAGCAAATTAAAGCCATGATTTTTCTCTCTCCCTACGTTGCCTGCATTAGGCTTTATAAACTATGGATTAAAAAATAAGACTCTCCCTTGCTACAAAAAAATGAGCAGAGTCCCCTGTTAAGTCTTTATGTTGGTACAGCACCAGAGCATTTGTTAAGTGAAACAGTAAAGAGGCTGTAATTTCTCGGAACACAAGTCCAAGATGGGTCGCGTGTTTTGTGAGAGAAGGTTAAAGTCTCTGTGAATCCAACGCATCACCAAAAAAAGTTGGGGTGTTTTCATGATGAGACTGTATAAAACCAGCTCCCTTGCTCACCCGCCCGATGGCAGTTGTTGGAGATAGCGTTGTTAGTTTCAGGTATGGGTACCTGTAATTCTCCCAATCTTGTGCTTTCGGCCGAGGTAACTGCCAGCGAATCCCGAGACATGGGCGCCCAGGCTGTACCCAATTAGGTGAACATTGCTTGGAGAGAATTGAACGGATTCTACAGACAGCAGGTGAGGTGGAGAGGATGTGGGGGGGAAGGGTTGGGAGGGAGAAGACGGGCGCTGGATGACAGCCTTCTGGGGTGCGTTGTGTTCTTATATCCACCCTGTACTCTGAGCCTGTTTGCAAATGAGATGCTGTATTCGCACTCCAGACCGAAACTGGTTTCTCACCTGGCTGACTCTGTCCCTGTCGGAGGGCCTAGCTCTGTTTTTTGGGTTCAGGTAGGTACCTGGGACCCTGTCTGGAGGCTGCCACCTCCTGCCCTACCTGTCTTTCCCCGGATACGAAGGTCCTACAGAAGTGATCTGTGTTGGGGGCTGATGGTTTGCAGGGTGTGTTTGGATCCCTTGGCATGTCCAAGGGGCTGAGGAGTGGGGGTGGGAGGAGAAGACAAAATAGGGGTTCAAGGGAGGCATCTGAGAGAGCCCTGGGGTCTGGTCTCAGATCTGTGCCTTCCTGCTCCTGCGAGCTTAGCATTGGCAGCTCTCCTGTCTGGGTTGCTGTGGGAGATCAGCTTAGTTGGTCACGCTTAGAGGACAGGAGAGGAGGGCAGAGGTGCGGGCAGAGGGGGATGAGCAGGTCTTACCTCCAGCCACCGAAGAAGAGCCGCGACCTCCTGGCCCGTGAGGCGGGTGTTGCGCACGGCGATGGTGTAGGGTTGGTAGGCCAGGGTGAGCCAGTCCGCCACCCCCACGTTCACTGGCTGGGCTGGCCGAGACTTCAGCGCGGCCACCAACTGCCAGATCCAGTTTTCCAGCTTGCCGTCCACCTGAGAAGGGCATGGCAGGGGGCTCCACTAGTTTCCGTTCTCCCTGCTCCCCCTCTTCCTTCTCCAACTCTTGCATAATGCTGGACCCTTCTCCCCAAGACAAAGGGCTTACCATGGGGTTGCTCAGCCTCAGCACTGTTGACGTTTTGGGCCACATAATTCTTTGCCTCGGGGAGCTGTCTTGTGCATTGTGTAATGTTTGCCGGCGTCCCTGGCTCCACCAGCTGGATGCCGGCAGTGGTACCCGACACCCCAGGTTTTGGAAACCCATAATGTCTCCAGCCTTTGCTAAATGTTCCCCACCTGAGAACAGTGCTGAAGTCTGTGTGAATCAGGTCCTGAAAGCTCACCTGTCCTTTGAGGGCCAGCTGCATGCCACCTCCTCTGCAAAGCGGCTCTACCACACCTCTGGATCCCACCCCACCTGCAGCGTCCTGCCGGCTTTGGCAGGACTAGCTCTGTGAACCTGAACATTAGGTTCGTAGGAGCTGAAGGAATGTTCATGGAGGATTGTTCTGTGTATGTGCCTGATTTGAGAACCAATTTGCAGGGCTCTCCTAATGGGTTCACGGAGCAAAGATATCTGTGCTGTGTCTTTAAGACTCAGTAGATGTTCGGTAAGAAGGGTGGGCAGGTGCATGTGGCAGTGGTGAGGTCCAGGCCATTCTGGGCAGAAGGAGCAGCAAGTGCAAAGGCACAGAAGGATGAAAGGGCAGCGTGGTGTGTCTGGGGAGAGGGTTGAAGGCTAGACTACAGGAGGTGAAGCTGGGAGCTCTACTGAGGGCCTGGCATGTCATTCCAGGGTAAGATGCATTCATTTATAGTAATAAGTGCTCACCAGGTGCCTTCTGTGTGCATGTACCCTCTTGAGTTCAAATCCAGGCTTTCTCAGTTACTAGCCGAGTGACTCAGGCAAATTATTTAACTACTCCGTGCCTCAGTTTCCTCATCTGGAAAATGGAGATAGTAATGTTTTCCTTCTAGGATTGTTGTGAAGATGAAATAAGTTAACAGATATATAAAGCACTTAGAACAGTGCCTGGAACATAGTGAGGAGAGTAGATGTTAGTCACTGCAGTTGTTGTTGTTACTACTAGCAGTAGACATGTTCTCGGCTGGACAGAATTTTGATAATGAAGAATGTGTTTTGGTAGAGAGATCCTGGTAAGAGGACCCTGTGATCTTCATGTTGCATTTGCAAACAAGAATCATTCATTTGATCATTAATTCAGTTAACATTTTGGAGCACCTAATGTGACACTCCCACACGGGGCAAAAAGACACAGGTAGAGCACAAAACCCCCCACAAAAAACACCCCACACCAACCGGACAAAAAAAACTGGGCCGGTAAAAAACCGAACAACAAAACAACCCCGGAAAAGGCCCAAGGGGGCCGGGGAACCCCCGGGGAAAACCAAAGCCCCCCCGGGCAAGGCCGGGAAGGAAGGAAAAGGGGCTGCAGGAGGACCTGTGCGGGACAGTGTGACTTAATCGGGAGAAGGGGAGGAGAAAGAACGCTCTAGGCAGAGGGTGCAGCCTGAGCCAAGGCCAAGAGGAGAGAAAGCCTCTTTTTTTTGTTGTTGGAAGGAGCTACAGGAGTTGGGTGTGGCCGGAATCAGACACGGGAGGCAGGGAGAGGTGCAGGGGAGGCAGGTGGATGGATGGGCCCATTTTGCTCCCCGCGGTAGGATAGATGGGGATTGCAAGGGTACTTTCCAACTAGATAGCAGGGGAAGGTTTCTAAGTCATGAAATAGACACCAAAATCTTAGGAGGGTTCCAATCGTGAACTAAACTTCAAATCATGGGGAGGCAGGGAACCAGGGAGGCAGGATTTCCTCCCGAAGTCAGGTGGTTTGACATCACTCATTGCCCACAGTCTCCTTTCTTTCCTTCTTCCATAGTAATAGAACTTTTAGCATCACTAAAAGGGTACCTTTTCTTTTCTTTCTTTTTTTTTTTTGAGACAGTGTCTCACTCTGTTGCCCTGGCTAGAGTGCAGTGATGTCATCATAGCTCACTGCAACCTCAAACTCCTGGGCTCAAAAGATCCTTCTGCTTCAGCCTCCTGAGTAGCTGGAACTACAGACACGTGCCGCCATGTCCAGCTAATTTTTCTGCTTTTTGTAGAGACAGGGTCTTGCTTGTGCTCAGACTGGTCTCAAATTCCTGGCCTCAAGCGATCTTCCTGCCTCGGCCTCCTGAAGTGGTAGGATTATAGGCAGGAGCCACTGTGCCCAGCCTGCGTTTTCTTTTCTTTTCTTTTTTTTAATTTCTTTATTTTGTCTCTTATTTTTTTCTTTCCTCACTCCTCTGTAAACCCAAGGATATGTTTTCTTTTAAGAGGCTATACTTCTCATCCACTTTTCCATCTAGGTATGGTCAGTGGATGTAATTGGAAGCATTTCAGAGATGCTCTGGGAGGCCTAAGAAAACACTCTTTTATACCAAATGCTATTGATTTATACACTTTAAATGGATAAATTGTATGCTATGTAAATTATAGCTCCATAAAGCTGTTTTATTTAAAAAATAACCTTGCTTTTTGACCCTTTTGTTTATATCCTTTACTACATTGTGCTACCTGGAATAAAGATGTGATGGCAAGTGCTCTTGCTGCCATCTTGGACTATGAAGATAAGGATCACACTCTAAACTGGCAGAGCAGTGGGCTGCAAAGAGCTGGGGCCTTGAGGAGTTCGCTGACCAAATCTAACTAGGCAGTTTTGGACTATTGTGTGAAATGAAAAAAAAACACTTCTATCTGAACCACTGCTAATTTGGGTCTCAGTTATTTGCAGCTGAACTTAAAGCTTACTGGTATAACCTTTCACTGGGGGGTCCATCTCTCTGGCTTTCCACCTCCCCCTGTGAAACATGCAGATGCAGGGTAGGATGCCTCCTCCAGCATGGACCGTAATCCCTAATGAGCAATGTGACCTCTTTGAGCCACATTTTATCAGAAACATGGAGATAATATTTTCCCACCCTGCTTACTCATCGAATCGAGATAATCAATGGGATAAACGGTGGGGAAGCACTTGGAAAATTAGAATGTGCTTTACAAACATGCATGAAGTTGTTATCACCAGCTCTCCATCTATTTATTAAGATTGAATGCACTAGGAAGAAAAAAATATGTGAAAGCAGAGAGAAAAAAGGCATGTCAGCATTGCTTACCGACCACCCGTGGATTATCATCACCAAAGGCTGGGAGGAGTTGAAGCCACACTCCTGTAATGTGTCCGGGCGGTTGAGCTGAATCTGACAGCCCTCGTTGGTCTTATCTCCTAAGAGCAGGAATCTGGTCTTCGTCTCCTGCAGCGTTTTCTTTGTTTCAACAGCTTGAGATCTTCTTCCAGATGGCTCTGGAATATAGGATTGAGGACGGTGTTTAGCTTGGCGCCTGTTCCACCTCTGCCAGCTCTGGGTCCCCCAAAAGGCTGCTCCTGAGAGCACAAGCCAAAGAGGTTACTGTGAGGTGCTGGAGATCAGAATGAGCCACCACTTTGGGGAACCCCAAAGGACATTTCCAGTGGAATGGACAGATGAGGGAGGGTGACCTAGGGGGACCCAACATACAGGTCCAGGAGGCCAGATCTTCCACCCTTTCATCCCGTTATCCCTGCGACCAGCCAGTCAGAGGCTAGAGTAACTCTAAGACATGAGGAATATAAGCAAGGCAATTTTCCAGGCTCAGAGAGGGCAAATACCTCATCCCAAATCACTCTATCAATGAGTGATAGAGTCAGGGTTTGAACCCAGGTCTCACTGTCTCCAGTTCCCACCCCTACATTCCTCTCTAGGGAGACAGGGAGAAATCATCTTCATTAGTGATGCCACGTGGCTCAACTTGTTCTTACTTGCAGATGCATTGTATGACATGTGCCTTCCATGGACGAGGTCCGGGTTGAGGGTGGGCTTGGTGTGGGAGGGTCACAGGGAGCAATAGATTCTGCTTGATGGAGGGAGGGGGTGGCATTGGAGGGGGACTTTTCAAGGAATGCAATGCCTGCCAATCCTCATCTTGAAGGACGATGGAGCCCTGAGTGTGTGTGTGTGTGTGTGTGTGTGTGTGCATGTGTGTGCATGTGTGTTGGCGTGGACAGAGTAAGGCTTTCTGAACTGAGGGAACAACACGAGTGGAGGCTCAGGGGCGTGAAACCTGCGGCCATGGAGGCAGGAGATAGGGCAGGGCAGGCGGGAGCAGGGAGGGCCCTGGGGTGCTAAGGAGTCTGGGATTTCTGCTTTCGGTGACAGGCGGCTGCTCAGAGTTTCTCAGCAGAAGAGGACAGATGAATGTCCATTCAGAGTCTTTCGAAGACCATGGGGGTGGGAGAGAAAAAGAAAAATCATTTTCAAGATTTCCTCTTCTGCTGTTTTACCGAAGGGCCTTATAGCCTGTCTTTTGGGGGTGGGGCTCCCCCAGGCCTGACTCTGGAGTGGGAGGGGGTCATCATCCGACTCCGAAGGCAGCGTGACAGCTGTCAGGGCCAGGACTGGAGAGCGACACCTCTGCTCAGAGGCTGAGGGAAGCCTGGGGAGGCGCCGTGCTTCCATGGGTGGGCATGTCACCGTGGGTGACACCTCTCCTGCCAAGATTAGGGGTCAGGCCAAGAGCTGGGGCAGGAAGCTCTCGTCGCCCTTCTGGCTCAGGGGCAGACACAAGACCACGTGGGCATTTTTGGTCAGTGAACTCAATTCAGCCCAATTAAGGACCCTGATCATTCTTTCTGTCATAAAATCATTCAGGCTTCTCAAATGATAAGTCTTGGGCTTTTGGTTTCAGGCAACAGCAGGACCGGGAGATGATGAACCTACGAAGTGCAAAGGGAAGGTATTCATGAAACCAATTTTCCTGCCCAAAGGTTATTAATTCAAAAGGTCATTAATTCCCAGCAAAGGGCAATGATTTTTCACCACGATGACAGAATGAAATGCGTCATATTTTATTAAAGGAGATGTGAGTGAGAATCTGAATAACTTTTCCGAGATAATGAAGACAATCTTGCTGCCTCATTTGGCTTGTAGACTGCCCGAGCTCGCCCTCCCATGAGCCTGCTCCCAGCCCAGGCTCCCCGCGTCACTGGACACACTGCTCTCCTGGCCATCTAAGCTGCGGTGTCACCTTGCACTTGTATGCCAGCCTCCCCAGCAGTCCAAAGCTTCGGGGTTCCTGAACACCTCTAGTGTCCCATGCCCTGCTTCCTGTGCTCACTGTGTCTTGCTTGCTTTATTGCATCAGCCTCCTAAGTGATCTCTCTGTTTGGGCCCTCCATCCTCCTGCACACAGCTGCTCTAAGAATCTTTCTAGAACAGAAACAACTTTCCCTGTTAGTGACTTTAAGCTTGGTAGGTGCAGCCCAGGCCACCACCGCAATGATGATCCCACATCCCTCGCTCCCTTCCCCCATTGCCAATAGTTTCCCAGACGCCCCTTCGCTCCCCTGGTCCCTGCGCCCTCTCTTCCCGCTCTGCTGTTCCATCCATCATAGCAGAACTGACACATCACACCCTCCCGGAAGCCTTGTCACGTAGCCAGAGGTAATCGCTCCCTCTTGCTCTCAGCGATGCTCGCCTGCAGCCGGCAGTTCACTCGTTCAGGTGTGTGTGCTTCCCGCACAGGCTGTGAGCTCAGGGTGGGAGAACTGGGCACCTGGGAGGCGCTCTGTGAATGCTTAGTGAGGGAGGAGGTACCCCACAGGGGTCCAGATCTCAGATCAAAGGCTAACATTCCACCTGTAGGCCATTTACACCTTGGACCTAACGAAGCTAATTTCCTTTTGTTCAGTGCCAGAATAGCTACACCTTTCTTCATTTCAAAATAGCTAAGAGGGCCGTATGAAAATAAGATGCAGATAAAAATAGAACCCATCTCATAAGGTGGTTCCGAGGGTTAAATAAGATATTCGTAAAGAGCTCAGGGTGATGCTTAGCATGTAATTAACACCTATGAAAGGGTGTGTTGTTAAAATAGGTACCAACTGGGGCATTGAGCATCTTGCATTTTTGATCTGTGAAATCCTTTCTTTCTGTGAAAATTTACCCCAGCTGCCCTCTCAGGACCAGTTCTGGCTTATGTATATTTACTGTGGGTTTAGCAGTGAGATCAGCTCCAGGGCTGTTCAGGAGCAGCCACGGGAAAGAGCTGTCAGATGGAAAGGCCCCCAGGCTGCTGAGCTGGGCTCTCCCTTCCCTCTCTTCCCCAGGGTTTGGCTTTCTGTAACGTGTGCACGAGGCAGGGAGTTGTATGCACTGTATACAGATATGCACGCACTCATTCATTCACTCGCTTCCTCAACACTCACTCATTAAGCACGGATTATGCCCCAGGCCCTGGCTAGGTACCAGTTGGTGGCAAACAGGGCATGGCCTCTGTCTCTCAGCTATTGAGACTATTGCTGGCCGCTGCAGGGGAGGAACGCCCTGGGGAGGGACTCTGGGGAGGGACCAATGGAAGATGAGGCATCAGTTGAGTCTAGAAGGATGAAAGATTCCTGGGAACACATGTGTATGAGAGATTGTGGAAGAAAGTGGGGCTCTGGTACCTATAAAAATAAGATTTAGTGGAGGACATGGGAGTTGAAGAGCTGTTGTGGAGAAGAGGGACTAGAAATATTTTGTACAACTTCAGGAGTTAGAATCAATGGGTGGACATGAGATGGAAGAAAATTATTATTATTTTTTTTTGACTCAGAGTCTCACTCTGTTGCCAGTGCTGTGGCGTCAGCCTAGCTCGCAGCAACCTCAAACTCCTGGGCCTAAGCAATCCTGCTGCCTCAGCCTCCCGAGTAGCTGGGACTACAGGCATGCGCCACCATGCCCGGCTAATTTTTTCTATATATTTTAGTTGGCCAATTAATTTCTTTCTATTTTTAGTAGAGATGGGGGTCTTGCTCTTGCTCAGGCTGGTTTTGAACTCCTGACGTTGAGTGATCCACCAGCCTCGGCCTCCCAGAGTGCTAGAATTACAGGCGTGAGCCACTACGCCCCGCCTGGAAGAAAATTTTTGACTTTAAGTAGTTCACAAAAATGTATAGTTGAAGAAATTGAGACAGAGAAAATAAGGGCAGTAAAACAGCAGAGATAGAAATGTTAGTATTAACACCCTAAAATGCATACTATGTGAAGCTAGAGATTCCTATAAAGTAGAATCATTAGTTCCTTAGGTATGATCCTACTTACATCTCTTTATATATATATATGCATCTATACATTTATGTCTATATATCATCAGCTATAGGGCTGCTGAAGATGGGCCACAGATCTTGTTCTGAGTGTCCTATGAGCCACATCCAAGAGGAAAACAGGAGCAGTTTTAGGATTCGTGGTGTCCAGGTGCTCACACTTTCCTAGTCTTGAAGCACAAGATAGTTTCCCTATCCATTGCTATAAAAAGAAGTCACTGGCCAGGGCGCAGTGGCTCATGCCTGTAATCCTAGCACTTTGGGAGACCAAGGCAGGAGGATTGCTTGAGGCCAGGAATTCAAGACCAGCCTGAGCAACATAACTGAAACTCTGTCTCTACAAAAAAAAAAAACAAGAAAAATCAGCCAGGTGTGGTGACATGTGTCTGTAGTCCCAGCTACTTGGGAGGCTGAGGCAGGAGGATCGCTTGAGCCCAGGAGTGTGAGGCTGCTGTCAGCTGTGATCATGCCACTGCACTCCAGCCTGGGCAACAGAGCAAGACCCCCATCTCTAAAAATAAATAGATAAATAAATAAATTTTTAAAAGTCTCTGGGTGAGGCAGGGGCTGTTGTCTGGAACACCATTCTTACAGAATATACAGCAGTGAGTTTTACGTGTTAACTCTGAGAGCTTTGCAATCCTCAGTGGAAACATCAGCCACAGCATCAAACAGCATTTAAGTCACTGTCATCGAGCAGCAGTCCCTGGGACCGAGGGAGGCAGGGGCCACTTCAGGTCCTTCAGGTGGGAGTAGAGCACCAGGACCCGAACATCTGAGCCTTCCTGGGAGCAGTCTGATTGCCCCTTCCTGCCACGCTCAGAACACGTGGACAACCTCAGCTGAGCCTGTGACCTCAAGAACTCCCAGCTGCGGCCTCATCCACACCTTTGCTGCAATCTCTTTCCCAGGCGTCAGCCCTGTGTATCGCCCGCTCTTGCTGGGCTTCTCGCCTGGGTACCCTTTGGGCACTGCAAACTCAGCATGGCCAAACCGAATTCATTCTCCTTCCTCCCAATCCTTCTTCCTTCCTCCTTGCATTTCCCGTGCTGGTTCATAGCCCCGTCAGTCATCCATGCTGTTGCTCAAGTTAGAGCTTACTCACCTCCCAGCCTCAGAATTATCTTTTCTACCCCGGCCACTGGCCTAGTCCGGACCTCTTCCTCTTTCTTTCCCCCCCC